AGGTGAGATCATAATGAAATGGTATCACATTATCAGGAAGCCGAATTCTCCACCAGGGCTCTGGGCCTGCTGTAGTTGGGCCAGGAGGGGTCGGACTCCCGCCTTCTTTCTCCTCCTCAGTCTCACCTCCGGGATCTGTGTAATAACATTGATAAACAGTTAAGATAAATTGATTGAACAACTTTGAAAGTAGAAAATTAAAGCGTAGAAAAATACATATGACAACTGAAGTTGATTGGACTAATTAATTTAGGTTATATTTTTTGTATCGCTGCATTGATAATTAAGGAATGTTTCACTCGCGCAGTTATGTCGTTACACACATTACATTACATTCAATCCTTTCAAGTCGCAGTACTAATCAATTACGGACAATTACTAGCTATCTTCTCTAATAATACAGCTCTTGATAAGTATCAGATTAAATTGAGTCATAGTATCCCTTGTGTTGCTGCTCTTACGGGTACGGCGTCAAAAGTACGATCGACATATCAAGAACATTCGGTTAAGATGTGGGGAAAATTAAGAATTATTTTCTATATGACACCTTCTGCGATCTACTTGAAGTAGTATCTGAAAATAAAAAACACAACATAAACACAACAAAAAATGAAGTAAATTGGAAAAAGAAAGGATTTTACAGAAAAACATTCGCCCCATATATCTGTTGTGTCAATTTTGATAACACGCGTTGCAGAGCCTCTGAAATGTTCCCTTATCTATCAAAACGTGCTTTGTGTTTCACATTACAACGGTTTAGTTTGATAATTGTTTCTACCGTAGAGGTAGCGAGTTCTAGAAAATTCAGAGCAGACACTGAATCATCTGCAGCGTAGAATACAAAGAAGAATAAAAGGATGACAAAAATTGTAATGGAAACAGAGTGGTTGTGAAAAGAAATTCAAAGAATTTATGAATATATACATGGATATTATGTTTATTAATAAAACAAGCCCTATGCACACTTAAGCTATGTTACTGGAATCACGGAAAGCCATATTCTTCATATTTTACTCCGACATCGCTTACATCATTGCAGCCACCTTTTCCAAATCTTTCTTCTCTATGAAAAAAAGTTTAAACTGTCAAAGCTGTTTCGTAGGCAGGTGAACCTGTGGATCAACCTATATTTGGACCTGTTTTTTACCGGTACAGAAAAATAATAAATATTCAGGTGTCACCGTGTAATTTGCATACCAAGTAGTTTTGATTTCTTCAAGTTGGAAGCTAACGCGGTGATAAATTATTCAATATTATAGAAATTCATACTATGAATAAATCGAAGCTTCAGGGTGACGTTAAAAAATGTTACTGGTACTGTAATGATTAAAATTTTCATCGAGTTTAGTCATCGATAGTAATGTATCCTATCCACCAACATTCAGCAAATAAAGATGTCAATAATATTACAGCTTATTTGCATAAAGTACCATTTATCTAAGCGACAGTACAGTAGTTTACTAAGAGAATTTAGGGGACATTCCTGGCAATCAGAGTTGAAATGAACCTGAGACTGGCATGTCTCGAAAGAATAACAATTATTTGCCACACTTACGGATCTCATCTTTTCCTCTTCTAGCACGCTCTTGACCAAGGACGGCGGCAAGGACAATAATAATGATCAACAAGATAACTAGAACAACGGCCGCAGCTATTAGTTTGACTTTGTCGAAGAATATTCCTTTAAATTCTCCTTTTCCAGACGTATTCACTTCAGGATCGCCGTCGATTTGATTCAGAGGTATTTCTGCCTCTGTTGAACAGTTGGCCATAAGGCTATCTGGCGAGATGTTCAGTCAATAAAAGAAATTGTGCGTGTCAGAGTAGACTGCTTGATAAAAGTATTAAACCCGAGAAGAAATACTACACGTTGAAGCCAGGCGTTAAAGCAATGTTTAAGTGGTCATGTGCTCGCCAATTGATTCCCACATGAAGCACTATCCATGCAATTTAAATATCAAGTTATGCAAATATGGTTTTCCACTTGTAAACAAACGCATTGTCACGCAGCCCGATTATTGTTTTGTTGTGGGCGAGCATTTTATCGGGAAATAATTTTTTAGAAACATTTTTCTTGCCAATGATGAAGGAAAAAAAAAGGAGTTCGGGAAAATTGACCAGGTTGGACTTACTCACTATTTAAAAAAAGAGCCAAGATAATTAAATTAGCGACCAATGTTGACAGCTTCTATAGCTAGTTGTCGGTCAGCCTCTTCAGAACGATTTTCTATTCTAGAAGTGTTCATTGGGACGTCAGTTGAACACGTAACTCAGTATTTTCTCGAGGGTCGTTTGATTGAAATAAAAGCCTGGCGGGGGAAAGATATGGGATGGCTTTGCAGACTTCGCCCTGTGTTCAAACATAGGGCGAAGACTTTGATACTACAAAAGATATGTAGCATAATAGCGTGACACTGATGTTATGCCAGTTTGTCTTTCCTTAAAAATTTGAGCCTTGATTAATATGTAGTCTTTTGATGAAATGCTCTGCCCGGGAATTACTTCTGACAAAAAAGTTTCACTTCCTTTGCTTACAAACTACTTTACGTATTATTCAGCGCACCTGACTGAATTGTATCGCAAGCCAAAAGCTCAGATACAAATTTAATTAAGTAAAACTTAAAGTCACGTACTTACTTCTTCCAGGGAGTTAACTGTTGTGTTTCAAGGACAGCATCGATCGCTGACTTTAAGATCTCTGTGCCAATTACTTTCCTGATTTTTCTCTGGGCATATAGGCTGTAGCTGTTTCATTTTAATGGAAAAATTTTACGTAAAGAAAAAATAAATTAATTAATGTCATGTTGTCAGAACAAACACGGTCAGCATTAGCCGTTGTAAATACAGTTGTTGATGTCCTCGTGAGGTTTTGAGAGCCTGCTTAATAATACCAAACTTAGTTCGTGTTATCAAGGGTAAGATTACACCATATCATGCAGTAAAACGATAGCTGGTTCGAGTTAGGAACGGGAGAGAGGGGGTGGATGGTTTGATTTAGTTGATATCCAGCATTCGATCAACCGAAGGTCAAAATTACAGTAAATATAAATTATGACGAAAATCTAGTGGTCGATGAGGGACTTTCCTCTGAGCAGAAGTCGAGCACATTTAGTTTAAACGTGTCCTCTGAATGACTGTCAATAGGGTTTTTTTTCCAAACGTTAAGAGAATACGACGACTAACCCCCTCTTTTCCCCATAGATCATGTGATCTCCCAAAGTCCTGCAACCCCCCCCCCCCCTCACCCACCCAATCCGGCGATAAATCGTGGCTGATCCCTAAACTAATTTTGCAGCGTGTTTGGAATAACTGAACTAATGCAGTGGTGAAAAAGTGAAGTTTTCCTTTACCGATTAATCAACGTCCCGAATCTTCTGGCATCAATTTACTAAGTAAATAAACTTGCTGTGATGTTGAGTAAGAGGTAAAATTAACTGGTTTATGAAATAATCGACTGGCATTCATTTTTATAGTGGTTATCTTAAATTATGAAAAGTCAAATGTGGCTTCTCGAGGTAGAAAATTGGAAAATATTCACGCACAAAGTAGTCCTTGGAGTACATCGATAAATAACTTTATCCGAGTGACGTCAGCAAACGCTTTTGTTTGTAGTTGCACGTGCAAAGGCCTTTGAGAAACTCTAACTAAATCAAATTTACTATTCGAACCTCGTAAAACTGGAACGTTCTGAAAAAAAGGTGAGGAATCTTAGACGAAGAGTTTGTTGCGTAGGAAGGCTGTCAATTGTAGTTTCTATGCAAGTTTTGGAAATCTATTTCCACTGCGGCCGAAATAAATAATTACACGATAACTCATGCAACATTAATATGAAACTATTTGTATTGATAACCGAAGCAAATCACATTTAGTTTTGAGTTAAGGTTTTTTAGGGGGTCTCATAAATCAGCCCTAAGATTTGAGAAAGTAATTCAGTGTACAATGAGAAAGTAGCTCATCTGACGTTGACTTACCGAGTAAGGGGCACACTATGAAAACCATCAAAGATACTGATTCCATGATTCCATGGTGGCTTTGAGAGGGTTATCTATGTTAAAATTGACCCATCCTTACAACTGGTTTTCAATAGCGCATCAATATCCTTTCATCATTCAAAATGTCTTTCAACTGAAGTAAAATAAATGATAAACCTCTCAGATTCTAGGTTTGAAAACGATTTTTGTGACCACCTTAAAAGGGGAAGGAAAAATAACAGCTGTTGCCGAAGGTATAACTCCACAAAGAGGCTGGATACTGTTATTTCACCAAAAAAGTGCACGCCAGCTAGTTTAGTTAAGCGTGATCAATACCTCAAAATATCAACCTAGAATCCAGAGAAACCGAGTAAGCTGAAAATTCGGTGCAGTACGAGCAATTCCAGCTGGCAATGAAGTGTTTATTGGAGGAGGGTGTGGGGTAGGTCCGTAGTGCTGGCTACCATCAAACTCTATAAGGATGGGACTATTAGCCGGAATACCGTTGGATTGCGGAGGGGGAGGGGCGGGCCTGGTCACTTACAATTTTGTCGTCGTTGCGGCAACAATAACGCGTGTCAATGCGGGGTTTAAGTGGGTAAGTAATCTGGCATGATATATAGCTATCAACAAACTCTATGGGCACAGAACTATTAGGTTTCATACATCTAAGGTTTATTAAATGGGGTTTGTTGCAGCTAAAGCACAAAATCTCAACAATAACATTTACAGCTTATTTCTTCACTTTCCCACCCTGATGTTTCTTAGTTGTCCTCCCTCCCCCCACCATGCGAACTTTAGGAAACTCAAAGTTCAACAACTTCCAAAAGGAGAGTGGTCCTACTAGGTCTAAAATAAGTGTTAATCTTTTTTTTTGCTGTTTTAGAATAAATTTGGCTGTAAAGGTTCAACCTAACCTTAGAGAGTAATTAATCACTACCTGTGTTAAACCGCCAATTCAATTCAACTTCTCTAAAATATATTTAACAAGAGATTTTAAGGCCGAGATAAATAAGGCAGACAGGGAAGTCTATTTCTTTCCTTAATCAAAAGTTTTATTCAAGATTGATTCTACTACTTGACAAATAATAGAAGAAAACGTTTACAGCTGTTACTTCTGCAAGCCAAAGTTCTCCAAACAACCCGCAACAATATGATAAGAAAAAAATAAGGGCAACTCATGTTCACTTAACGTTCACCGATTTTGAACTACATGAACGAAAACACGGCTGTAAAAAATTAATAACGCAGTAACAATAGTATTTCTGATACTCTACTCGATGCTGATCTAAAACACAAAAGCCATTACAAAGCATGAGATGAAGATGACAGAACTCATAACAGGCAACGGAGCTCCATTACACAGATCCTCAGAGCAGCAGGTTATTTTGCATTCTTTGTCTTTGCAGAAGTCGGACTTTTCCCAGTCTTCACACTTCAGTGTTGAAGAAACGCAGTCTTTGTCGTAGCCATGTACCTGTTTACCATCCTCCGTGAAGCTCACGGACGCTTTACCACACCGATCAAGTCCACCGGCACATGTAACTTCTGTTTGGTTGAGTGCGCAGTCCTCCCAACTCTTTAAACTGACGCACTTGTAGCATTTTAAGCCAGACCCTAGGAAAATTTTATTTTGTTAGTGGCCATTTGAAAAGTCACCGCTTTTTTAGGTACAAACTCTCGGGTGTAATTATTAACTATTCAAGGTATGATTAATATCGCCTTATTAGGAAGCAATTCTGATCGGTTGTAACGATTATCCTGCAAGTATGAATGGAATTGTTGTGAACTACTTGAATTAGAAGTGTTTGCGAAATACTGAAATTAAGACTGTTCTGGCTAAGGGCTTAGCTTAATCATCGTACGATTATCGCTTGTCGTGTTTGGGTTTGTCCTTGACTTTGCTTAGAGTCCACAAAGGGAAGTTTTCTCAAATGTCTTACGAAATTGTTTGGGTCAGTAGCATTCTAAAAATATGTTTATTCCCAAACATGCCTACCGGTAAGATATTTCATACAGAACACCTACTTAAGGGCTGAATAAGAGAGAGATACAGAGACTCAGTTATTCAGATGAAAAGTCAGTAAGAGTCATTAAACAGCGAGTGAATAAAAGTTCTTGATCAAAGACTCCTGTTGTCTCCGTTGCGCGAGTTATTCAAGCTAGTTAACCCCAACAGTCCAACAAAATAAATACAAACTTGTATATTCAGAAATCAAAATATCAGAAGAAAAAGTATCCAGATCTATCCACTTCAAATGAATTATTTCAGCAGGCTGTTAATCTTGAGCTTAACATAATTTCGAATTCGAACATCTTGCCACTATATCTTGCTTTAGTCCTTGAACTGCACACAGTTTATAGCAGTGATGATATATTTGCACGAAGGCAGGCAAAATCTTAAGTTACCACCAGTTTATGAAATATGTTTGGGTTAATCGCCTCTCGTTTCTTGCGAAAATAAAATACGGCTCACAATAGGGAAATATCGAAGAAACAAACAGTGCAATGTTAGATATCAAACGCCCTCCGTTATGACGGCGAACAATCGTGAAATATGTTCCGCATTGTTCTTACGTGGCAACATTTAATTTCCTTTAAATCAGCAAGTCTCAAGTAACTCAAATTTCGCGAAATTTTGCAACTCGAAAAATTACCTCGACCAGCTAAACTTAAAGCCAGGAATGCAAGACGATGAACTTATTGCGCAAACAACGGTTCTGAATTCCCATGGGCTGATTAAAATGTCAAATCGAAATGATTCAACCTTTTAGAAATAGACATTGAATCTACAACTTGCAACCTCTGATGATCGCTCTAGTGTCACAATCAAAATGAAACTATTGGTAAGTGCAACAAAAAATTGCTCCTTTTTTAGTTTTTCGGGATACGTGATTCAAGCAGATCGCTTGTGCAGCGGTTGGGGAGCTAGATTCATTGGCACAAATTGGCAATCAAAAAGGACTATGGTGAACTCACCGACTGAGAGGCACATCAGAAACACCAGAAAAGGAAAATAGTTCATGATGGCGTCAGGATTTTCCTCCAAAGGGTTGTTTCACACAAGGCTTGCCTGTCCGAAAGTACGCGCTAATGGTGACGTGTTAACGAAATAAATGATATGTAGCCAAAAAGATTAATGTCTGTTAACTGTGTAAGCCAATGGGATTCATAGTTTGGTCATTCGTATGTGAGCTGTTGTTATCTGAAGGCAGGTTCTGTCTCTCTTGGGTAGTCAGTCCTTTTTGGCTTTTTTTGAAGGCAGAACCTTTTTAGTTTGGAAAGCTAAAACTCTAAGTCTTGCTTTCCTGGAATCAATCTTGTTTCTGAGAAATACTTCTTCATGCCAAAAGTAGAAGGGCACTTTCCCCTCCCTGCTTAGGGTTTTAAGTGAGAGGATTCTGGCTGTGTCATGACAAAATTTACCCAATCCCCTCCCAAGGGTCTGTAAGGTAGTCTCCTTCCCAGTCGTTCTAAGACTCGTCACGCAACGTTCCTCCCCAAGTCCGAGACTGAAAACGGCTGCGAAGGAGACTATCAAATGCCAGTCATTTGCAATTTAATTCGACGCCAGCTACAATGGACACGTTATTCAAATAAAGGTGTCTAACATTTTTCGAATTTTATCCAACCCAAACTACAGATAACTGTCATGATTAGTCAACAGGTGACGCAAGTCAAAAAGAAAATAATTCATAAAATAAAAGTAACGGATTAGAAGAAATTCAAAATATAACTTGTAGCCAATTTTTAGAAATGAAAGAGTCTAACTTATTTGTAAGTTTAATAAGCTCAAGTTTAAGACCGTGACGATGTTGTTACGTGGGCCACGCTTGCCTTTACTCATGAAAAGGAGTACGTCCGTAAACCAGACCCTCTTAGGATCGTCATCATTTGCTGTAAACGTAGGTATTGCGCCACGAAAACTTGTAAGCGTAGTTTGTTCAGCTTTTCAGCTAAAGCCCTGCAGTAACAAAACTGGATAGGACAGAATGAACGAGAGGGTAGACTTTCCGATTTGCAACTCTTTCAACGGATCTTCAAATGCTTGCACTTGACGTCTTGTCAGGTACGACAAAATATTTTATCATGATAGTGAACAATTATTCGATGAGCTTTTTGTAACCCTTACCGAGACCTGGATTATTCTGAATATCAAAAAAACCGAATGTAATAATTGTTTTAGTATACATTGAACGAAAAAAAGGGTCACGATAGTAAATGGAACTGATAATTTACATCTAAACGTGTAAAAATATACAAATCAGCAAGCCACAAGTAGGGCGCGAACTAGACATGATTACCCTTAGGAATCGTGCACTGCGGTCATACATGACATGATTACCTGCAACCTTGAATGTCCTAGACATGATTATTGCATAATTTGCAGCTAGATGACGTGCCAGGTGCTGATTTCGAAAATTAACTTTACGCTTCTGGCCGATCAGAAAAGAGATAGTGAGTTGAAGGTATAATAATATTTATAATAACATTAATAATAATGGTGATATAGCGGGGATTGGGATCTAGTTTTTACAGCAATACAGACAATAATGACATAATTATTCCTGCAATTATTATTCTTACTACCATGGCGAAAAAGTAATATAAATTATGATCTAGAGCGTTTACGAAGTCTTTAAAATAATTTATGAACGAGAAAGCTTGGCTCATTCCTGTTTCTACATTTTCAGCCATATGGAAAAGTACCAGCATACAAGTTAGCATGGCTTCTCTAAAATTATCCCAATATTCCAATCCAACCATAATAACTTTGCATTCCTTGTAAAATCTTTTCTCTCTCTGTGTGGTTTTTTTCCCCACTAGTCGAGTCACGTCATCCTTCCAATGCACAAGTGAAGTCTCTCACGAGCCACATCCTTGTATTCGTGCCAGGCTTTCTCTTCGGCAATCTGGAAGGCTTCTGCGGAAGGCTCTATTCCTTTTGAAATGAAAATGATAATAAAATAATGATAATAATAATTTAATGTAAATGTTTCTTTCTGGAAAATTTGAAAAGTTTAATTTTGTTGCTGCCTTTGAATAAAAGAATATAGTGTCCCATTATTTTCTCTTGCCTTGAATCATTATTTCCTTATCTGGTATATTCAATAGCTTTATTACAAGGTGTTATAAGCCAAGTTGTATTTAATATTATTTGTACATACCACATACGCAAATACTAGTTCAGAGGTGATTAACTGGTACTATTTACCGCCGAGCAGCTAAGGAGACAAAATCGCGCATGAAGAGTTCAACAACTCATCCTTCAAGCTTTGGTACATCCATCGAAATAACCTAAGTTTCTGGTTTCCGTGAGGTGTACAGTATACCAGAACATTTATTTACCTCCTCTTTGGTCAATGATTTTTACATGTATTTGCAAAATCATCTCTTGCTACATTTAACTCAAATGTTACCCGAGGCAGTTTTTTTACAACTGAAGGTATTTTTCCCTCCCATTATATATGGAATAGCTAATCATCGTGTTAGATGTAAAGTCTTTTCACCTTGAGCATAGTTTCCCCTTCGGATGAAGTAGTCTGTTTTGACGATATCAAAACTCATGCGCGGCTTACTCTGGTAGTACACTAAGTGATGTGTTTCTATCTCCCGGATCAGTTGCTGTGCTTTGGCCATTTGTGGCTCAGGAACTACTCTCTGGACGTCAAGGTGTTTCACATGCCTGGAAGATTTGACGTAGAAAGCGAGCTGCCTGTTTTTTGATCTGATCTGGCAGCGATTGGTGATAGGCCTTGTATCGGCAATCAAATGATTTTGAACATCTTGAAAATACTGCTCTGCCAAGGTCTCTTCTTGAGCCGTAATACCGATTCTTGCTGATTTCTCTGCAAGAAATGCTGCATAGAAGTATCTATTTTCTGCTGTTTCCTCGCCTGCTGCACAGGGCCACAGAAGCTAGAATTCAAAGATTGAAATTAAGTTTGGGCATTTTGATAATCAAACGCAAGTCAGTTGGACATTATAATAACCAGATATTGATAAGTTCAAAACCGGCTTGGGATTCAAGTTCGTGGTAGACTGCTTCGGGGAAAAGTCTATAAAATGATGTCGATTAGACTTCATGAATGTATCTCTGTTACCCTCACCTCGACAGAAACATCCAGGCACTCCCTAGCCCTTTCATAGTCTCCTTTTCTACGAGCTAAGGCAGACTCGACATATTTGAGCTTGGAAAGGATGTAGCAATGATTAGGTGAATGAAATCTTTGGGAAGTCTCCAAGGCCTGATTGGCGTGTTTCTTTGCGTCCTCATGTCTGTTCTCATGCAAATCCAGTAAGGTTTCCTAGAGGAAAATGGTATAAGAAAATGAACTATCTGACCCCTCGGCATAGTTAACTGTGTTAATTTCCCCGAGAAGAGTAGGTTTGAAAATTTAACACACTTCTTCCAGTAAAAAAAAAAAATTCCCTCTCCTACCCCCAGAGAACATGCAAGCAACTACTTTCGCGTTCTTAGGTTTTCATTTATTCTAAATCATGACAGAGGAAGCCCCCAGAATACTGTGCATGTGATCCTGATGAAATATGGTTCTTTTCGTTGTGCTTATTTGAAAAAAAAATAAACAACTCAGGTGATAACGAGTTGGCGTCATCATCATGTATAATAAAGACCAAAACTTTAGAAGAACAGGAAAAATGAAATGGAAAAATTTAAAGCACTCACTTCATACAATATCAATGGTAGCAAGTCCACGAACCGGGGATTCCTGTCAATATACATCTGGAGCAATTTTTTGTGCCTAGTAAAACGCACATGGTCCCCTGATCAAAAATAAGATTTTTATGGGTAAAAATGAAAAAAAAAGCAATGTTCTGATTTTCTCTCCTAAAGAAATGATTAAACCCACCGTTATCTGCCAGGCGCTGAAAATGACCGACCATAGACATTCCCATGGCGCTGGACCACAAACCTATGAATCAGACGAGATAAGAAGTCATTTACTGGTCTATGACAGCAACCAGTGAGATTGAACTCACTGTACCTTAGAAATAATGGATAGGTTACCACTTACACTCCAGCGCTATCATCATATATAGTGTTGAAAGAATATTCGTGGCAAAGCTAAACTCGAGCCATTATTATTATTTATGGGTTTCCATCTGAAGCTAGATATCCTCTCCAAAAAATTTACATTTTGCCCACCCTACTACTAAAAACAATTCCTTACACGCCTCAATTCATCTGAATGAAGTTCCTTATCAATGGAAAAGATACAAACCTTTCGGTCTTAGTTTTCTGATGGGTTGCTCAATTCCAGATCCCTCCAGAAATTCCTCAAGACGGGGGCCTGGAACCGAAAAGAGCTTTTGAAAATAAGCGACATTTCGGCTCCTATCCATAGAGGTGCAAAGCCGCACTGTGTGAGAGAAGGTCTCTGGTCTCACGGATGGAAGAAGAAGGGTGACCAGTCCGGTGAAACGGTCCTGAGATGCGGTTAATATCACTGCTGGTGATGAGATATTCACTTCAATCAGATACTCTCCACGGTTCTAGAGAAAATCACATGGAATATTATGTCTTTAACACCTGAACGTGAACTCAAAATTCTCAATTTAGCATAGTAAGAGTGTATTGAGGTTTTTCGCTTTTGAGTTTTTTTTTTTTTTATTATTATTTTTATTTTTAGGGTCTTGACTGACGGCAGTTTGATGAGGTGGCCAATAGTCTGCAAAAGAAAACGAGAATATGTACATCATTGGCATTAACCTAGCATAAAACCTTCAATAACATCCACGAAGAAATCTCTAGATTCGGTCAAAAAATATCTCAACCTCACCTTTGAGGCGTGCTGCCCCCTTCCCCCCCCCCCTCACCCCTCCTTCCAAACATGCTCAATCCTTAAAACCCCGCTAGTGGAGTAGAGAAGTCTCAACCCTCTCAAAGCTCCTCGACATCGTAGAATGCGAAGACGTTGAATGAGAAAGTATTTAGGTAATATTTGCTTGACGAAAAGACAAAGATAACTTTCAACAGAGAGATGAAGTACCAGTGACGTTTTTTTTAGCAGGCACTGTTTTAAATTTGATTTACTCACAACAGAAAATCCAGCCTCGGTAGGACTCATCTCCCAGCGACATATTTCATAACTGGGGTATAATTCAATTCCCAGTCGATAGTGAATGACGACATATGGCCAATGAACTGTATAATGTTCCATTGCACTGTTCAAGCTGGGAGGGATTTGTCGAAGACGATAAAACGATTCGAGTCTATGGTACCTCTTAAGGCCAAGAATAATAAGATGCAGTGTTTGGTGCTGAGATACCTCTTCTGACATCTTCGCTATGGATTCAGTAATAACAGTGTTAGTAAATATTCACCCGTAAACAAAGGTGGACATGAACTACTCTCCACAATTCAGTTTAGTAGAAGTCAATACAGTGTAATAATCACAGTGACTTTTTGCTCAGACCTACTGTGACAAATAATACAGCAGTTTAAGTGTCGACCGCATACTGGCTACCAGTTCTTTGCGCACTTGGAAGCAGGTTACCCCTGACTTGAAGATCCCGCGCTAGTTGTCGCGGCTCTGCGGCTTTCATTTTTACGTAAAAATTAGTATTAAGACTGTAAGCGGTAGGATTCATCTCCCAGTCAGTTTATAAGGGGTACATTTATAAAGAAACTGTGGTGCTGCGTCTGTTGGGGTTATTACAAGGAAATTGGTTTATCGTTAAGTTGATAATGTAAATTTTGCTATCGAACAGTATTTGTAAAAGCTGGCGTTTCGAGCATTAGCCCTTTATATAATTTCAGTTTGTTTACTTTCAAGTGTGACGAAGCAGTTCTGTTTACGGCAAACGGCAAACGGTTCTTACCATTGGCTCTCAGCCGTGGACTAGTAAATATTTTGTAATGGCTGTAGACAACGTGCTCCAGGGTTGATTTAAGAATCGCTTAAAACGGTAGAAGAATATTAAGACTCAATTTCGCCGTCGTAAACGCCATGTCAAAAACGCTTTTCATAGGAGAAAACTGACAAAACTGCTCTTAACGAATGTGCTATTTAAAAAACTGAGCGTGGTGAGATAATTTTTCGATAAATAAGTTAATGGCCCTTTATGAAATATTTTAAGAGAAAAACTGCTTGATGTAGGTTTACTTTGGGAAGGCGGAAAAGTTAAAATACTAGTAAGGCGCATTTAGATTCCCTCAGAATGTGTTCACTAGCATGGTATATCTGTTCTGATTATTATTGGTTCATGCGTGGCAAGTTAAGGAGGCGGCGAATGGGCGTTCGATGGGCTGATCAAAACAAAAAAAATGGCAGTGAAAACATCAGTCGAATTTTGAAAAATCGCATCACGAAAAATCATGAAACACTTCCAAGGGCTTGTCTGAACATACATTCGTGAACATTTTACTGTTATCCCTTTCATTAACGAAATTAACGCCACATTCGCCTCGAGAGTCCTGGCAAAATCATGTGAATACATATTGCATTATGTAAAATTACCTATTATGAAATTCACGGGTTGCCTCGAGAGTCCTTGCAAAATGATATTAATACGTAATGTATAGTGCGGTTATTACGAACCAGAATAACGAGTCAACTTAAGTCGAATCCGCTGCTTTCGTTGAATGTCTGTTCTCGTGACAATCAAGATCAACTGAAGGTTCAAATCTTTTAAACGTTTTGATTTTTTTACCGCTTCGGCTTTGATCATGTTCCGCTTTTTCCACAAACAAAATTGAACTTACTTTAGGGACCAGATCCTGAGTAAGACTCGTCAAATGGCAGTTAGCGGCTGAAATAACATCTTTCTTTAACGTTGAAAGTGAACTACGCAATGAAAGAATTTACGAATTGGCATTTACAAAGAAATGCAAATTCTTAATGTTTGGACTTTGTTCGGGGATTCCCCCATTATGATGTCATATCAATATTTTTGCCCAAACACCTGAAACGTGCAAGTTGTCATGTATAAAACAATCAGTTTTAAAACTTGTCCCAATTTATTGAGTTTTTAAGTTTTCGAACTCTTTGGATGGTAAACTTGTTACGTTTATGTCTAGATAATGTGACAAGGATCAGCTTTAGAGTTGGCACTTTTGAAGTAAGAAGCATTGCTTTTTTTTGTGTATGAAGCACCAAATATTAGACCGTAAGTATAAGTGAAGGACTTTTTTGGTAAAGAAAGAAATACTAGCTTCTTTTTTGTGTATGAAGCACCAAATATTAGGTAGTGAAGGACTTTATCGGTAAATCTAAACCCTGGGAATGAGAATAGAACCACGATGGTTGGCGCAATTTTACTTTCCTCGCTTATATACATCCTTTTTCTTTGCATAAATGATATCTTCTTCACTTTCTCTCTGACTGATACTCACAATGCTTTTACAGAGTTCAACCGTGCACGGTCTGGGTACTACATTTTAAAAAAGTTAAAGGTTTTCTTTGCTTCCTTTGAGAAAGTAGTGCAACGGTTACGAATGATAGTAATAATGGTATTATTAACATAGGTCCGAGCACTGACCTTTCTGGGACCCCACAAGAGCGATCATAACTTGAGCAACTTTGGTTATCAAAATAAAGACTACTTTCTCTCTGTCACAAAAGGCGATATAAATATGACAAATTGGCCATCTTCGTTGGCACAGAGAACGTCAGTTTTGGAATCGGATGAGCGCGGATTCAGTTCTGTGGCCAGTATTGTATGTGTATAACTCAGTAAACTCACCAACTTTGCTCACGTGTTGGTTGATGGACTTACACACACACACACAAAAAAAACAACCAAACGAATCACATACTGAGTAAAATTCTTGATGAAAACTTATATACTTAATTTCTAGCTGACGGTAAATACATTATTCAGTTAGAAACCACTCTTTTGAGTCGATTGAACTGAATTGGTAAAAAGCCGTTGCAAAAAATATCCTATAAGGTCTAGTTACGTTTTGATATTCTAATTCAGCACCCTAAGGGTCTCTTTAAAACCTTTTGTCCCCTAAGAGTGTTAAGCATTTAATTTCTCCTAACTCAGAATATGGTTTGCTTACTATTAAGGTCACAGTGGAGTCATGAGAATCGTTACACTCACATGAATGGAAATTCTTTGCTGAGGGACAAAAGTTATAAAGGAAGCTAGCATTACATGGCTATTGAATACGGACGAATTCAACACGACCATCAGTAACGTATTCAGGTTTATGATGGTTGGTCTAACAAAAAAATTCATATAGGATCAGGGAATAAGAAAGGTAAACATTTTAAAGGCTAGTAACGAACTGATCCTCACAAGGTACAGAAACTGCAGAAATGGAGTTTGAACATCATTAAAAGTATCACGAATCCGAGCATAAAATGACCTACATGTAAGTACTAAACTTAGTCCTTGATACGGCTTTACCCCACGTGGTGAAATTTTCTGGCAATAGATTAAAGAATTCCAAACCGAAACTGACGATGTATTCAATTTGTTCAGTTAGAGGATAACTGTATTAGAGGTAACTTGTAACTTCTACCGCAAAAGTTCAAATTAGCATGAATATTTTTATTTGGGCTCTTTAAAGCGTCTCTTTACGAAATTACTTTTGGCTGAAGGCCGTTAAAAGAAGAAAGGGATACAAGGCTTGCAACTTGGTGGCCGCCAGCCGCGACCTCCTTCACCTGTCTCCATTTCTTCTCGTAACGGCCTCCAGCCAAAAGCAATTCCGTGAAGACACTCCAAACGGCTCATGAAGGCGAAAAAATACCACAAATGCATCGATCAATATTTCCTTTAACTTTATTGAGATAATGAGAACGAGATGTAATTTAGATGTGCAATTTTCAGAGCTTTATTTATAACCCCATAGATTTTGTTCGTCTCATGTCAATGATAATTAACCGCGAACACATAGTGTGGTCTGCCTGTGCCGTGACCTATAAAACAAGCAGTAAACCCCTGCTTGGTGATAGGTTTTGCCCGTCGCTTCCTGATCGATTAATACCACATTATAGTACCTCAATATCAGTACCACAAAGTGTACCAATTAGAATGAAAAATGAAAAGAAGATTCTAATCATTTTAAATGATACGTACTCTGCTAGTGATCATCATGGGTGATAATTCGCTTGGTTTCTTCCTGAAGTTTCAATTCTCTAACATGAATTATTGTTTATAATAGATAGTTCATGGTCATTAATTTCGAATCAATATATTATTCAATATTCGATCAGATAGTATCAGCTTCAGGACCACTTTGAAGTAATTTAAAGTAAAAATCAGCCTCTCGTTCCAAAGATGGAATGTCATCATCATCACTTGGGAATCGTACTCTAATATTCCATCTTCCTCTTCGTCTTCTTGCTGCTCCTCGAAGTCAGAGCGTTCGAGGCTGACCGGTTCGACCGGCTGAATTTCTCTCTGGTAGAGGTACGACGGGGAAGTTCCATCTCTTGCCATCGTTGTTTCCTGTCTGATAGAGCGCTAACGCACTGCTGCAACAAATGTTTACGCCCAATCCTTCATTTTCTGTATGCTCTGTGGTGCCATCGGCACAGGTGGTAACGGTTGAATTGCTGGTATGCTCGACGGGATCATGGCTCATTCGTGTACAGGATACCAAGAATGTGGATTTGTAAAATAGTACGCCGCCCAATGGGTTGTCCTCATTAAGCCTTCTTTTGCTGCATTTCTAAAGTTTCTTGAGTAATCTAACACCTTACAAAGTTTATCTTTGTGATGCACAGTCGAGTGAATATTCTTCACTTCGAGTGTCGTGCACTAAAGTAAAAAAAATTTACCTCTAATAAAATGTGAGATAACAAAAGATAGTTTATGCTATACTACCATCTGAATTACATGTGTCACTTTGTAATCATTACGGTACAGTAGTCAATGATATCTTAACATAAAGGCTACATTTTCCTGGGAGTGGAAAAGGTGCGCTGAGGTCTACCGTATGCGAGGTATGAACCGGCGAAACGAGACCAGTCCCTAGCACTGACTTCTTCAATGTTCTCAGTGACTGTAGTCGCGAATATACAAGTTACTGTTTATCTTGAAGAACCTTATCAGAGAATAACAGCCTCATCCATAAGGCAGCTCACGGGCCGAAATCCGTACCAGTCTTTTCGCATTCTACTGATCGAGCTGATCAGGCAGCGACTAAATAACCTTCCTCTCCCCCACGCTATCTTTTAATGACAAAGGAAAAAAAGTTTTCAACGACAACTTATAGCTCTATATGCCTACGCTCTAAAGCTACAGAGAAAAATACGATTGGCCGACACTTCCCCTATATTTTAGAGTAACTCCGTTTATACGTTGAATTCAACTTAACCTAAGCTATAAAATTAGCGAGGTGCAAAAACAGGACACCCTACTGTAGATTTGTTTTCATAAGAATGCTGACAGGAACCCGCTTTAGACAGTGAATGACAGTTCGTGATGCTTTTGAATAAGGGAGATGGTGAAGTGTTGTAACTTCCCGTTTCTATTAGGTTCTCAATTCATCGCCCTATCGAGTTCCATAAGAAGTCCTGGAAGAACTTCACATCCTGGCTCTTGGTAGCCATGATATTCCTCCATTCTCCTGTCGGCCAAGTCACGGCGCCTCCGTCCTGTCTCCTCTCGCACCATACGCAGCCGATCGAGTTGCTGAAGTCGGTCACGTGCTCCGTTTACATCTATCCGCAGATGAAGATCTTCTGCTATTTTCAACGCCTCAGACACTGAACGGATGGCTGTGGATGGAAACAAGAATACAGTCAGAAAAAAGACTAATCTCGTTATTTTGTTCTATTCATATTCTCCTTGAACTCAGCAGTATACGGGGGCACTTTTGTACACAACCAATTAGGGTAGATAGTTTTGTACCAAGTGGTACAAATGAACCAATCATATGGCCGGATAAGCTTACAATATGGCGATTTGATGTCACGCGATCTCTTTGGTTCATTTGTACCAGGTTGTATATAATTCTCCTCTCTGATTGGCTGTGTACCATAGTTCCCTGTATACTACTTAACTCCTTGATCACAATAGCCTTAGCTTGAATCGCGATTTTGAGTTGAGAAAAAAAAGAGAGAGTCTGTACCATTTGGCTGCCAGCCTTTCTTCCTTTTCATGGCGATAGCCTTGAAACATAAATCCACAAAGGCGTCAGAGAGTGATGGAAAGAAAACAAATGGAAGATACTGGGCTTATCATATCACATACACAGGAGAGATCATAATTACAGACACGGATAAGGTGAAGTTCAATTTCATTCTCGATTCAGTTCCATAACCAGTATATGCAGTAATGGTGTCTTTTATTATTAGTTTCCATAATCACCATTGGATTAATAACATGTTATGTACCTCAAGAATACAAACGTTAAAACTGTACAAACCTTCTTCATATTGTCCTTTTCTTGTTAGCAGATCACCATAAGCACTATAAAACCCTGCCCTATCTCTCATAGGACAATTGGTAAGGTAATCTCTCTTGAACTTTTGAGCAAATTCCTCCGCTCTTGCTAAATCCTTTTGGGACACATCCGTCTGAAGGTTGGTGGCTTTGCCTTTTCTTGAGCAAAGGTAGAAGAGTATTGCCCTGATAAGAGCTCTTCTGCGACTCCTCGCATTCCTGCTTTGATTCCTTTCAAATCGATGTCTGGGGCGCAGTATCACATCCTTCAAGGCTTTCTTCAACTTCTTTCTTTCTGATTTGGTGATTCCCCTGACAGCTGCCTTCTCGCACAACAGAGCAGCAACCCTGGTGTGGTTGATTGAAGTCTCTTCATTGGGAACAACTGCCTGTAACAGCTGTAAGAAACGAAAAAGTTTGCAACGCTCAAGCCTTCCCCTACTGCCAGCTTTCTTTAAAAATTGTAGCAACAGGGCTCTGGATCACAATAAAAATTGATGTATAAAAGTGGCCTTAGCTGCTTAGCAGGGCTCAAAATGGGCCCTTTGCGTTCATAAGGAATCAAAAGTATTAACCCTTTAACCCCAAAGATGGACTGGCTTCTAATTTCTACTTACAATATCACCCCTTAGTCAAACATTAGCGTTGAAAGATTAAAGGACATAGTCACAAAGTAGAGAAGCTCTTGATTGTCAAACAATTTCTCCTTGTCAGCACCTTAGGAAATTTATAAAGAATAGTAAGGAGGGTATGCATACTGATGCTACAATGTAAAGCTTTCACACTTTAAGAGATACCATGAAACAGAGGAGTCACAACAAACCTCAGTAGAGGAATCCAATAGTTCTTCAGCCTTCTCAAAGTCTTCCTCCATCCTGAAGGCCCCAGAGACAACACTTTTTGCTCTTCCAACAAGTGCGTTATAGTTTGTTGAGTGGTTCCTGTTTGCCTGAATACAGACTTCTTCACCTGCATGCTTGCATCCTTCAAAATCCCCCATCTGATACAAAATGAGACACTCCTGAAAAATAGATCAAATTCAACCACATAAGAATTTTCAATATGCCATACGGTATTTCCTAAAATAAGTGCTGAGGCGTTTATTTAATCGAGGGGGTGCATGTTACACTGTATTCTCCAGTACTGATTCTGCCAAAATTGAAGCTAAATAATTACAAAGAAAGTGGTAATGGAAGCAGGTTTTCCCTTTTTCCCTACTATTTGAGGAAGTGAGGAAGGATTGGGGGGGAGGGGGGGGCATCACCTATTCAAGAGGGGTGCTTGTTTTACTCTGGCTGCTGAAAGAGTGCAGTTGAGAGTGAAGTAGCTACAATCATTATGTTACCGACCGTCTAATGCATCTACCTCTAATTTCACAGCAAGAAGCAAATCCTGATACTTTTCCTCCACATGATTGGATGTATTTATGTGTTGCATGAGACACAGCTTATCTCTTCTGAAGCACTCAATTGCACCTGAAAGTAATAGAAATATTCATATATTAATATTCCCTGGCCACTAACATAGTACAGCATTCTCATTTACCTCTTACTGAAGAGTGTGCAGATTTTACAAAGGGTCTAACATCTAGTTTTATATCCATATGATATGGTCACCAAACAACAACTTGAAGGTAACATTTGGGGATAAATTAAGTATTGCATTGTGCATCCTGTTATGCTCATAAAAATGAATCTGTAATTAGGCAAATAAGCGTGCATGCATTCTGAGAACATGGTATTGTTTTTCAATCAATGCATGGGGGAGACATGAGCACAATGACCTATATTTGTTATGGCATCATTTTGGTGTACAAATTATCTACTTTAAATTCCTGCATACTATGAACAATCTTGTTTTCCAGTTATTTAATTCTTTTAATGGCTTAAGGAAACAGCATTGGTCATATGTTGATCAATGCGAAACTTCAACATCCCCTCCCTTCCCCACCTGCCTGGGGTGGGGAGTTTGAACCAAAAGAACTGAAAGAAAAATTGAGGCATTTAAAGGTAAAAAGTTCAATTTCACAAGTGAGTGGCTCTGAAGAAAAGGTCTCCAAGGTCTACAATCAAGGAACAAAATTGTTGACACATTGATCTTTTCAACTCCATTAACCCCTTCCCCCAAAACAATGTTGTATCCTGAAACCACAAACTTTTAGCCAACATTGAGTGGGGAAGGGGGTCATGTTATTGATTTAGAGTGTGGTAGAAACAGGAGTGTTTTTCTACACTAACATATAACTCGTAAAACATAATGTGTTGACTAATTTTGGACCTGGTCGTAGGTTTTAGAGCTTGGTCAATGAGTAGAAAGTGATGTGCTTGTTTTGCTATTACAAACAAATTGACTACCAAACCCAACACTTGGATGGGGCATATGAACACAACCGAGGGGTTCAAATGCTTAAGGGGTTGCCTGGTGGAGCAGGAAAGAGGAGGATGTTGAAGCTTCAAAATTAATAGAACAAGGTAGAATTTCTTGAAGATTACCATTTTCCACCAATTCTTGAAAATACGAGACAATATTCTGACCCTCAGGGATTCCCAGAATGCCTAGAAGTATATACAGTACACAAAAATTTAGAACTGAAAATAATTTTCAAATTTAAAAAGTTCTCCTGAAAACTTTCTACTGACAGCACTTGAGTTACTATAACCCCTTATGCTAATTTATCCACACACTGCTTTAGGAACGGACACCACAGGTCTGTTACTTCTAACAAATGATATGTACCAGTACTCACAATTTTGCGGATGAAAATCAAGTAAAGTGATGATGTATCCTCACATGTGAAGTGCAATTTAGTAATTGCAGAAAACAAGCTTGAAAAAATTCAGGCTTTGAGATGATAAAGGGTATATATAATTTATGCAAGTGTTTTCACTGCTATGCAGCCACATGAATCAACTTTTATTGTTGTAATAAATGCACAGTGAGCACACACTTACTGACAAGAGACAACCTAATAGAAAGCCAATATTTTCATACACAATCATGTATGCAACTACCATGAATATAAATTCTAAATAATATACCAGCTTAAGTGCAAAAAATATTCAGATACATGTATACACACAAGAAACAAAAACATACCAACTGGTTGCTTTTTGGAGATGGGGAATTCCACTGATGGCAGGGAGTGACCATCACAGTAATCAAACAAGTTTGTTCCTTGACGATGGGTCAAAATGGGCTTAGAAATTTCATCCAGCAATTCTCCAGTTAACGCTCTGAATCTAATGTTAACTTGGTAAGTGGAACTGCTAACTGGAAGGAGAAACAAAAAATTCCCAGTACAGGTTGGCAGCTCTTTCCCACCACAGTCTATGGACAATGTTTCTACCAAATGCTTGCAACCAACTGGTTTCACTTCTGCTTCAATCACACCTCGTCCCCCATTCTGCAAAATGAGCACAAAAAGTGGTTTATAGGTTGAACTTCACTAAAAAGTAATTATAGTAACTGCCATTCAGTGGTTTAAGCAATAAAAAAGAATTTCAAAGAGTTGAGGTTCATTTGGTCAGTATCAGCCTCTCAAAATCATATTTAGTTTACATAAAATTAAGTGTAAGAATGACTGATCCTACTATCTCCTAATAAACTCCTTAGTCCATTCTTCCTCTACTTAAATACAAATACATTCCATAATTTGCAAAGCACCAAAAAGAGCCAAACAAAGCTCCAGTTAAGCACAATTTTATGTCTAACTCTGGCATATGAAACCACTGAAAAAAAGTCAGCTATTAAATGATCTGGATTTTTTAACCTAAACAATATTCAGAAGGGGTTAATTAATTTAGCAAGACTTGAGATATACACTGATTTGGAAACCATACATGAATAGATTGAAATATTTCAACTTAAAGGAACAGTGTCATAGTGATGCATGCCCTGTGAGATGTCTAAGGTTTTGAAAAAGTTGGGGAATTTTTTCAAATTTCCCATCAGAACTGATTGCAGAGCTCTATCATTCTCTATCCTTGCTATTCGTGGATTATTTTTTAAAAAAAAACATGTTATTTTCTTAAAGCAGAATATACAACATGTTTTTGTCTTCTCAGTTCTTCAATAATTTATGGAATGAGGCTACATTTAAAGCTTCCTTCATGCACGTTATTCTTGGTATTGCTGCCATTGTGGATGAAGGCAAGTATACATATTGCTAATCAGCTATAGCTACTTTTAATGGAGAGATCAGCTTCAATAATCACTAAACAACACTACAATAATCACAGTGATTTCCAAATCAAACTCTCTTTGCTCACTTGGAAGATGAGGAAAGTCTATTTCGAACTCTCCTTCTGGAATGTATCTTTTGATTCAGTTGTAAGTTCAGTTTTCTTCCTGAAATGCATAAGGTGCTTTGTACATGAAGAGGAAGGTTAGTGAGAATTTCTTAGATTGAAGAAAGTATGTTCATAACACAACAGTGCACAACAAACTGCCATCTAGGACATGTAATTCTCAGTTATAATTTCACCTGGCCTATCATATCTTGACAACCTTTCATTGTTTAACCTGAACTCACTGAAGGATAGACATATCAAGCACTGTAATAAATTTTTTGAACCAATAGTGTCAAATAGTGAGCGCAAACTTCATCATTTTTTGCCACCGAAGGACCATATTACTTATAATCTTAGAAATCAACGTCAGTTTGTTAACCCAATAATGCACACTAAGCATTTCTCCCAGACATATTTACCAGCCTTGTGTAGACAATAGGTCTGTGTATTATTCTTGTAAATAATATGCTCTGTAAATATAATTTATAATTTTAGCTAGTGTTGTATTGTAAATAATCATGCAATTCAGCCTTATTAGGCTGCCATGTGATTTTTTTCAATAAAGCTCTCTATCTAGAGCTATCTTCAATGTTCTGAGCCTTACAATTTTAGCAATTTGTCTGTAAGTTTGTTACAAAAGATATCTGAACAGTTTTTGAAATTACTGTTGTCAGTGTGAGTGAAGATAATTTGAAGTGATGAAAATAAACCCTCCAATGGAGTTAACATAGAGATGATAATATGTTTTCTTTGACTATGAATATATGAAAAACATATAATTATGTAAACTGTGGTTTTTTTTATCTGCTTATTTAAGCAGTAAAAAAATAAGGCCTGAAAAAAATTCAGAACTGTACAGAATTTGAACCCATGACCTCTGCAATACCAAAGCAATACCAGAACTGTGTGCTGATCATTTTCTTTGTGTGATAGAGTAATTTGTGGTTAACTATAAGACTTTCATTAGCAGCTCACTTTCTGTGACACAACGTTGATAATACAGTGTTAAAAAGGCCAAATTAACTTTTATGTCTTGGAAAATTGCTATCCTTTGAAATTTCATACACATCAGGTTTGCTTTGCCTTTTGTTCATATGACAGCACCAATTACTGATTGAAATAGCATGTGGTATGCCCACCACGTTTGTATCATGCACAAGAATTAAATGTATGGGTAAATACCAACAACTCTTATTTTCTTTCTGAGCTTGAAAGAAACAGAACTGTTTGAAATGTGAAAGCTACTCTTTGCATCAGGAAAGTAAGGTAGTGCTGACATTTAATGCAAGCTTGACAATTGACCCTGGGTAATAGAAAATGATCCCTTACTTGAGGAAGAATGAAGAACAAATTAGAGTCGCTTTGGTGCAAACACCTCTCAACTTGTATTTAGTAGGAACTGACATTTGCTTGTGTTTCCTTGGGTCACTAAATAACTGAACGATATAATTGATGTCTGATGTCGGATAATTAAAAATTATGACTGATGACTGACCAACCTTGTAGCTCAGAAACATTTGATTTTCTACAATTTTCTTTTGATAATTTAGCCTGTGCTGCAGTCAGTATAAACTGCCAGGTAAGGAAACTGCCTGAGGGGAAACTGTATTTTTGAATATGAATAAAATACCTGTACATGTAAAGGATTATCAGACTTTTTGTTAGAGGAGCTTTCCTTGAAAACAATAGCCAGAATTGTGACAGTATCATAGATAGATTATTGGTTGTCCAATAATTACATGAAAGCAAGTCCAAAAAAGTGCAAGCAACTGAACAGACTGATGACAATTGCAATAATATTCCCCCACTCAGTACCTTAAGGGCTTGTGACTGACTGACTGTGATTTGTTGGGTAAATTGTATATGATTCTTGGCAAAACAGAGCACTCAGGCCAATAGAGTCACTTTCAACCCTCAATTCAACCCAATGATGCACGTTGCTACAAATTGCTGTCTGAATATTAAAAGGTGGCATTCTACTCTAAGAAAAAGCTTCACAGTAATGGAAAACCCCTGTTAATGAAGAGGTGAGAAGTGACTGGGATTCAAACAAGGGATAGTTATGTAATTCTTGTATAGTTGTCTTTGTGAAGTAAGTAAAGCACTCTCATTGAAGATTTTTGAGTGTGTAGCTTGTTAGTATAACTAATGATGGCAAAATTCACCAACCAACTCCTGTTAACAAGATCAGTAAACAAAGCCTCAAAAATGAGGATTAAAGAGAACAGCTACATGTTGAACTGTACAAAGGCACAAGTTTAGAGTCAAACATTGTAATTTACTTAAGTGTTAATATACATATCACCACAGGAAATTAAAGCTAGCCATGAATTGTGTGGCACTGTTGTTTTATGCACATTTGTTCTGATGCAACACAACTTGTTGCCACATTGATCAAGACTTAATTCATTCATATTATATGCAATGGGCCCCAAGATTAGTTCTCATAACTGCCTCTGTTAAAGGGAATTAACTTACTCCAAAACAGCTGTGAAAGGTAAAATTATTGCCGCAAGTGAAATCGTGCTGTTGTTGTATACAATCTGTTTGACTACAGGGTCCCTAACTTAAAATAATCTATAAATAGGCCCATTTGCTTAAAATATAGCGAGGGAACTTGATCTATATTTAAACAGGAGTAATTTGTGATCATCTTTAATGTGTTCCAAGCTGGTTACTTGCATGGTGCTTGAAATCCAAGAAGCTGGACAACTGAAATGATTCTTGGAATTTATGTGATTCTATGCACATGGCCAAGCATGACACTGTTGCCTTTAAGATAAAATTAATTTCTTAAATTTGAGCTTAGAATATTGACAGGACATTAAGTTTCAGTTGTCGTATGCTGACAAATAGCCTTAAAATTCTGGTTTTGAACAATCAAATTTCATTTAATTACAGACCATAGCTGGGTGTAACTTTAGATCATGAGAGGAATTTCCATGCATTTTGTCCTCCAGTTATTCAGGATAACTAGACGTGTTTTATGAGTCCTTTATGATTACCTCTATTACATATGCTTGACAACTGACATGTATGGCACTGCACATGTACATACCACTTTGAATTGTCCAGTTTCACCAGCAACAAGGTGACAATCAAGCAGTTCATTATTACCAGTTCTCAGTGCAACCACAAGTTGGATTTGAACAAATGGACCAGGACAAAGATGTGATACTTCAGATGACAGAAAACACAGTGAATCTTCAGGCAAGGAACCACCAATATGCGCAAAATGATGACGACATGCTTTCAAAATTTCAAGATTGTAAACTAAACAGCTGGAATCAAGAGGCCAAGATCCTGAAAATGGGAGAGCAACAACAGTGCAATAAAAACATTCAATAGTGGAAGACTATTCTATGCACTTATCATTCTACCTCTAAGCAAACAATTTGGTATATTTTCAACCTTATTCGTAGTTGTACATGTACATAATCTCATACCAGATTCATAATGCATTTTAAGGCTTTGGAAACTTTCAAACTTGGATCATTTTGTTGTTTCTTGGTACAGATGAACTCTGCTAACTTGAACTTGGTAAACTTGAACCCCCAAGTTCATCCATCTTTTTGGTCAATTTCTATCAGTTAACTCAACAAACACACAAATTGTCACCTTCAGTAAAACAAACATTTTTCTAAATGTTCCATGAACTTTCAGTGAGCGTAAGTCATGACTAGATATTACACTTCTCCAGACAACTTGGCTATAAATTAGGCACATATCAGGTGGTGTGCGCACTCTGATTGCATTGCATCATGGTCTTAAAATAAAAAGTGAGTCATTGGCATCCTGTCGTGGTGGAGTGATGGGGATTCACTGCCTGTTGCCTTTTTTTGAAAGTGTTTGTGGTCCTGTGTGACTCCAATGATTTGTCTGTGACAAATTTGTTGTTAGGAGGCAACCGAAGAGATTCAGAAAGAATCGAAACTGCAGCCTTGCCCAAGAATCTATTCATTTGGCAGCAGTTACACTCACAGCTTATGGCCATGTGAATAATATCAAATTCGCAAGTTATTTAACAGGGAATCGACCCTTGATATGCAAACGCATTACAGAGTGACAGCAACCTTCTAATACAAGAACTATTTTTCATGTTATACACTTACTGGTAAAAGCATATATATGGGATTCATGAAAGACCAATTTTTCATGCTCAACGTTTAATAAAAAATGTACAGAGTTTCAAATATGCTTAAAGAATAGAGAATATCTAGAATAAGGCTTTGAGAAACGTATCTCTGGAGTTATTTTTTACAGGAGAGACAGTATGCTTGAAAACAATAAAAGCAGCTCACGCATGTGAAAATATTACTCTTTTTACCACAATCTCATCCAGATTTGTCAAACCTCAAGAACATACAGATGGGGATCTTAATATCATCTTAAAACTAACCATTATTATCACATTGCGAATGAAAGTTATTACAAGATATCCTAATGACAGCTTAGCTTTCAGGTCAGAAGATTTAAAAGCACAAGTGAATGGCAGGAGTCGCACAAGCCTATCAACACCTTTTAACAATCGACTGCCTTTTGCTTTCTAGCTTACCAAGTGTGTCACCATATGCATTGTAGATTTATTCATTGGTCAAGTGACTCCTTTCATTGCCATAATTCAATTGTCCTTCATTCATTGATCAAGAGAGTAGATTTACCATACAACACTCGGATCAGTTAATTTGCCTTTGCTTAGGAAAGTAGATTTACAATGCTGTGTAACACAACAATAGACCTTTTCTCAGCCATAATCGGTCTCAAACACTAGCACTTAAAATGCAAGAAACACATGTATCGTTGGAAAGCGTTTGAGAGAGTTTGGTCAGAGCTGTTGAAGAAGGATCAAAGCAGCCATCCAAATTTCTGAAAGGCTCCAAACTGAGACATATATCAAATTTGACCAGGCGGTGTGCGCACTCTGATTGCGTTGCATTGTGGTAGCTCCATTTCCAATATGGCGATGAAAGCGGTAGAAATTGGCAGGTTTTGACTGAACATTCTGTAGAAGTTAGGCCATTCCTTTTTTTCTTTCACCTTTGGTAAATATAATTTTATTTATTGTGAATGAAAAAAGTATCTTTTGTACGTATTTGTCGCGTATTCTGTGGTTCTCAAGGACAAACGCAATCTTTTTAGTATGTAATTTGAGACCAGTTTTCGAGAAGGTCAAATTTGATGTGTGTCGTAGTTTGGAGCCTTTCAAAGATTTGGATGGCTGCTTTGATCCTTCTTCAACAGCTCTGACCAAATGCTCTCAAACGCTCTCCAACAGTACATGTGTTTCTCATATTTTAAGTGCTAGTGTTTGAGACTGATTATGACCAAGAAAAGGCCTATTGTTGTGTTACACAGCGTTACTATTGTGTACTCAATTGTGTTGTAAATCTACTTTCCTAAGTAAAAGCAAATTAGCAAATCACAAGTGTAGAATGGTAAATCTGTTTTCTGGATCATTGAATGAAGGACAGTTGAATTAGAACAATGAAAGGAGTCACTTCACCACTGAATAACTCTACATTGCACACAGCGACACGCCTGGTAAGCCGGAAAGCAGAAGGCAGTCGATCATTAAAAGGTGTTGATAGGCTTGTGTGACTCCTGCCATTCACTTACGCTTTTAAATCTTCTGACCTGAAAACTAAGCTGTTATTAAGATATCTTTTAATGATTTTCCTTTGCGGTGTGATAATAAGGGTTAGTTTCCTGTCATTTCCCTCTCTGTATGTTCTTGAAGTTTGGCAAAGTCGGGTGAGATTGTGTTACAGAAGGTAATATTTTCATGTGTGTGCGCTATTTTCTCTGTTTTCAAGTACATACTGTCTCTCCTGCAGAAGAGAACTCCAGAGATACGGTTTTCAAAACCTTATTCTGAGTATTCTCTATTCTTTTAAGCATATTTGAAAATCTGTACGTTTTTTTTTAAATGTTAAGCATGGCAAATTTTGGCTTCTCCTATCCCAAATACCATATTTAAGCCTTTAAGTGCATGATATGAAACATGATTCATGTATTAGAAGGTCACTGTCTCTTTGTAATACGTTTGCATGTCAAGGGTCGATTTCCTGTTTTATCAATAAAGGGCAAAATTACTGAGCGCTGATTGGTTGAGAGAGAGGGCATTTTTTTCTTAATCGAGGGCATTTTTAGTAATCAAGAGAGGGCATGATTACCTGTTAATGATTGGCTAATCCGTTGCATAGCGACTGCGCGCGTGATTTTCCTTCGTATAAATTTTGCCCTTTATTGATAAACAAGTAATCCCATGAGACCTCGTACTATTAAGGATTAACTGCACTTGAGTTTTCAAAATTTTCCAAATTGCCCTCGTCGCTTCGTGACTCGGGCAATTTTGGAAAATTTCGAAAAGTCTCGTGCAATTAATCCTTAATAGTACTTGGCCTCATGTGATTACCTATACAAATAACTTGCGAATTTGACATCATTCATACAGCCATCAGCTGTGAGTATGACTGCTGCCAAATGAATAGATTCTTGGGCAAGGCTGCACTTTCAATTCTATCTTAATCTCTTCAGTTGCCTCCAAACAACAAATTTGTCACAGGGGGAAAACAAGAGTCGCGCAGGCCTGCGAACACTTTTAAACATTCGAAGGAACTGCAACAGACAGTGAATCCTTGTTACATTCCATGTTTATTCACGCTATCTTGCTGCCACCAGAGATGTTCACTCGACCGCTACAGGATGCAAATGACTCACTTTTCGTATTACGACCATGATGCAACGCGATCAGAGTGCGCACACCACCTGAAATTTGACCTTCGTGAAAACTGGTCTCAAATTACATACAAAAAAAAATGATTGCGTTTGTCCTTGAGAACTATAGAATACGCGACAAATACGTACAAAAAAATACTTGTACACATTCAGAATAAATCAAAGTACATTTACCTATGGTGAAAGGAAAAAGGAACGGCCTAACTTTTACAGAATGTTCAGTCAAAGTTTGCCGATTTCTGCTGCTTTCACTGCCATTTTAGGAACCTTAAGCAGTCAACGCGGAAACGCCAAAGAAGACTTCGATTAAAAATAAATTTCTACTGTTAGTTAGAATTTCAAAGTGGCGGTATGTGTTAACCGTCTCATACGGCGCCACACCTCAACTTCAGCATAACGCATAAAAGAGGCGTTGAGTTCCAAATGGACATTAAAATAATTTGCCGTCGCGGTTTCGGTTTGCAGACAACGCAAATTGTGTTGATTTCATGTTCTTGTTTTGCATAGGACGGCTAAGAAATGTACAAAGTTTTAAAACGCACGTGCTGAGCTATTGTTCTGCCTATTAGATCTTTTGTTCTTGTTGCCGTCGTCGTCCTGGTTTGCTTAAGGTCCCTATTGCTGGTTTTCAGTGTCACGCCATTCAAAATAGATCAAAATAAAAAATAAAAACCGTTCAATCGATTTAGTCTAGAATCTGGAAATAGAAAGAAGCTAGATATGTAAAGACTCTCGCCAAGATTCAGGTCACAGCAATTTTTCTTATGGAAGATATGAGGAGAAACGTTTTTCCCAAGTTTATAGAGATTTGTATGGAGCCGCCATGCTGGTGCCCACCTAGATGGGCACCAACATGGCGGCCGGAAACCAGCAGAAACATCTGTCACTGAGTTTAGCTACAAAAGCGTGAATTTATCTCTCTAAGAACTCATAAACGTAACAATAATACTTTATTCTAATACAAGAACTGTTCAGATAGCTGAATTTCCCTAAATAAGTCACCTTTTAAACCAACATAACAGCTCTCTCGCTCGTCATGTAAAGGCCACGTCACGCAAAAGCTTAGAAATTCAAGAGTAGTCTATCACTAAACCAAGAACCCATTTGGAGTGAAAATTTGTCTGAATATTAGTTTTTAGCTGCTCTAATACATCATGAAAGTAAAATCTCAGGAGGATCAATAGTTCTGAAGTCTGAAATTTAGTGACGTCACGTGAAAACCAGCAATTGAAAATGAAGCTACCACAATGCAATGTAATGGGAGTGCGCACACAGCCTGGGCGCATATCAAACGAGGTTGGTTTTACATGAACGTAATCTCTCCAGTTGGAATGTTGTTACTATAATTATTGGTTTTTGACGTCCAATCCTGCACTAAACAGCGACACTATATGATATTTATAATTGTAAAAAAGTTTCAACGCAAAAATCATCGCAAAATTCGAACAGAAGAAAGCGAAAACAAGGCTCCACAGGCGATTTTTGCAAGTAACCAACTACATCATCCCATCGAAATCCGAAATCTGTCACGTACCTTTGCAACTTTCTGGCATTTGCATCTTTCAGTTTCGCAGGTGTTCGTCAGGAAAGGTCTTCAAGCATGGGTCGCGATTCGTGATATTCATTTCTTGCGTACGAGGAGCTGTTCTGACGTGAGTTAGAGTAAAACGATGCGTTAGTTCGCGTTTCCCTTGGGCTGGAAAACTTTTCCCGTGATGCACCCTAGTCTTCCATAATGACACAAGGGAAAGTCCCTCCAAATTTCAATAGGTCAACGAGTTACTCCAAAATGACTTCTCGCCTTATCCTTTGTCTAGCCAATTTCATCTTGCTCATGATATCCAAAAGCTTATAAAGCCATTGACACTATTATTCCTAACGCAAGTTTGAAGTATTGGTAACATCTTCACTGGATGAATAGTGGACTGTTTGTAAAATTCATATTCCTACGTTTTATCGTAATGAATTAACAAGGAAGCAACTCGACCCTCCTTGTCGTCCGCCATTTTGGAATACATTTACCCCGATGTCCTGGGTCAGAGTAAGAAAACAATAAACCACCAATGGGATAGTCTGCTGTGCAGACGTCTCATTAGTGCAAGCTAACGCTATAACCGGCTGGACGGTATGGGTAGGGGGCGGGGAAAGGTGTAATTTCCTTATCCTTGACCGACGACCGCCCCAATTCCTTTCTCTTCTAGGCCTTCTGCTATAATTACTCGGGCTTTCCGAAGGAAACGCCCGAGAAGTAAATTCGGTTTCGCTTTCTTTATTTTTAAAAATTTTTTTTATTTCTTATTTTTTTATTATTATTATTTTTTATTTATTTATTTATTTATTTTTTTTTTGCGTTTAGTTTCACTACAGCGCATGCGTGAAAAGTAAGCGCCTGCGTAGAATGAACCCTGGAGGGTAGTGCGCATGGTTTAGAGCAATGGCTGCCTTCGTGGGCAATTCCCTGCCTGATGTACGCGAAAGAAATTTGATGGCTATTACGCTCAATATACGTACAAAGTCACAGACCGTTCGGAGTAGACCAACACTAAAAACTTGTGGAGCGTTTTGGGAACGGGTCGGTCCGCGAACTTTACGAGAGATCAATTTACGAGCGATCCTTTACGAGTGAACCTTATATAGAGAAATATCAAGCAAAACCTGCCATATCAAACGAGCTATCTCATATTATGTTTACATGTAAACAGAACCGTGTATTTAGACGTGATCGAGAACCCAGTAGAATACCAGAAGTTACTCTGAAACGTCTCAGAAGAAAGGGCAGAAAACTGAAGGAATTTGTTTATGAGCGTATTCGTCCAAGCATACCGAAGTCCTCTTGGCTACGTCGTTATGTGAAGGTTAGAAAAGTTACAAAGAGTGTTTGTAAGTTTAATACGAAGAGGGTAAGATTAAATAAAGTTACACAACATGAGAAGAAGTATTTGTTGAATTGTTCTGTGAGGGTATATCAAAGGATAATTAAATTGAAGTAAAGAGCAAGTCGGTATTTATCAATGTTTTCTTGTAATAGACCTATGTGTCTTACAAGAGTCAGACACACGTATACAAACTATTGTAAATTTCAACTGAGTTCAGATATAGAGAAAAACCCTGGTCCTACTCCAATGTAAATTGACCCTAGCAAAACATTAGCCAAGCTAACGAGTTGGTATTTGGACAAAATTCAGGACAACAATGTGTTGCAATGAGTTTATGCTCTTTGATTTACAATAACAAACAAGGAGTCAATTCTGCCAATGATCTTGTGTCAATAATGAATATTGGAAATAAGTCGTATTCAAGTTTGTCTCAGTTAACTTTATGGTGGAATATGAAGAAAATTCCACAGTACTATCAGTTATCCTACAAAAGAAGAAGATCAAATGAAGAGACAAAATCACCGCCAACATGAACATTTCCTTTGGCAACTATCATAATATATATATATATATATGTCAACTTTTGTTTTATAAGAGTTAGATTCTGTAACTGTAAAATGTTATTCAAAATATTAACAAGAACAGATCATCCAAGAAACTGAAGAGAACTTGTGCATAATTCCTCAGTTAGACCTATTTGAAATTGTTTCTGATCAATACACAGGAAAAGAACTCAGTATTGATACCAAATATTGAAACATCTCCATCATTTTATTATAGTTTTGTTATAAGAAATTCCCAAAATTGATGAAGAGCACTCACTCTAGCTATATAATGTTGTGGTGGTTTCAGAGATTTTTCTATTAAAAACAATATGAACTATTGAACAGTAATATTACTTCAATCTACTGACTTCTGACAACTCTCCTTGGGTGAACATTTGGCAACAAACTATGACTCGGTACCAATAATAGATAAAAAATTCCCTTCTCCTTGCAGTTAAAGGCAAATACATTATTTACTCAGAGTTTGTAAAAGCCTTGAAAGTCCTTGAAGATACTTGAATTTAAAAATAAAATTCAAAAATAAAATTCAAGGCCTTGAAGGTACTTGAATTTGAGGACTAGGGCTTGATTTTTGCAATGCTTTTTCTTTAGCAGTTTTCAAGTTGAAAATTACAGTACTCTCATGGAAAAGCTGAGAAACAATGTTAAATAATTTTAAAGTTGTTCATGCAAACCTTTCCAAAAGTGGTCCTTCAATTTTCTAAAACTTAGCCTTCAAAGTCATTGAAAAGTCCTTGAATTTCAACCTTTGGCATCTGTGGGAACCTACTCCTATATGGTAATATATTATTTTGATTGTTGTCTAGTACCACAACAACATTCATTACACTCCAGCAGACAAAAATAAACACAAGTAGACTTATTCATGACTGGTAATGGCGAAATTGTGTGACGACAGTAACAATGGCAATATGGCAGTCCCCTGAAGATAACTCCAAATGTGTAATATTGAAAGCCCGAGTTCACGCAGCTATGCATCTAGTTAAAATAAAAGATGGCAGCCACAATTTTTGAGAGGAAAATTCTGAGAAGTCGCCAGCCAAAATTACACCTATCCTGCATGCCACCAATCGGAAGGATATCTGAGCTTTACATTCTGTGCCCATTTCAGTTGTCTTGATCCGTCCATCCCAAGTGTCGGTCACATAGTTCCTACATATTGTTATATCGTTCCATGAAGTCATGTCATTCCTCCAAAGGTTTCATTCGTCACACAAGATTGAAGTTCTTTCACTCATGTTGAAGTTATGTATGATGCGGTTGCCTGTAATACTAACAAAGCAACCTCACCTTTTCCTAGAACATCAGTGGAGGAAATGAAAGCATAGGTAGCCAGCTTTTCCAGTGTCTCATCATCCAGGAACAAGGAGATCTCGTTCTTGAATCGCATAGTTAAATTGATCAATACTGTTACTGTTACTTTGTCAATCATTATTAATCAAGGCAGGTGAGAAGCACTTAAAAAATTTTATGTGCTGCTGGGATTCAAACCCCTGCCTCCTCCCTACCACCCAGGTATTAGTTGAAGATAGAGCTATCATCACTGTCTTGTCAGCTAGCAAGAGTGCAGACTACAGTACTCTAACTTTGGCTGCCACATAGAAAATGGCATAATTGTTTTACACCAGTGGTATTTTTACCCTGACTCATGACAAAGTACTTATTATTTCAATTTCACAAGTTAAAAGAAAGGTTTTAAAGTCGAGGAGGATCAACATTACAGAAACTCATTCTAGGGATTTATGTACCGTATGTATTTTCTTGTATTTAAGTGTTCCTATCTACAGGAATGGGTCAAGTAGACATAGATAATTTTGTTTTATTAACTGGGTTGATAATGTAAATTGGCCTAGGAGTTTCCAAGCTGAAATTTCAATTGTTAGCTGTTCATGAGGGCAAATTACCTTAATGTGGGTTGTGTGTGTGTCTATGTGCAGAAAATTGAGGTGCATATGAAGTGGTCAGTAATCTTAATGGTTTGCTTTAGGTCCTGATATTTTTACCAACAGCAATGCCATCTACTGCGTAACTTGTACTCATTGTAAAAAGATATACATTGGTGAAACAGGAAGATGACTTAGTGACTGATTCCACGAGCACCTTCATAATGTAGAAAGGAATGACAAGGATGCATCCAAACCAATTGCTAGAAACTTTAATCTCCCCAACCCATTGAGCTCACAGAATTGGTGCTATATAAATTCTTGTATTATTATTATTATTATTATTATTACTATTATTAACCATTCTGAGCAGTATATGGTAGTCTGCAGCCTTTTCCTACATCTAGGCAGTTTAGAAAGCTGCAAAACTCGAGAGCAAGAATTTATTTCTCAAATCAACTCAGTTTATCTAACAACATTGGCTAGTTATACTCCCCTACTGACACAGCACCACAGTTTCTTTATAAACTTATCCCACTTATTTATACTGTAAGTAGACATAGGTTGAATTATATAGGGACAAAAGTATCTACCAGCTTTGCCATTTGCACAAACATATTTATGTTTTGGTTAAACTTGTTTTGTTTGTAGTTCAATTTTCAAACATATTGCCATGCTCAAAAACAAGGAAGATAAAGTTTGAATTAAGAATAATATAGGCTGGTGAAGATTCTGTAACTGAATGTACAGCTAGTCTTGTTACCATGTAAAAAGTCATATGAATATACTTTGAAGTGCTTCTAACAATCTAGTAGTTTTTAGTGTTCTCTAATTCTCTAATCTCTTATGTACACTATGTTCATAAATTTTGAAAGGGTGAAACCCTTCTTATTGCAGATGAAACATGCAAGTTCATCTTGTTGGCAAACAAATAAGATAAGTTTAGCTATTATTTTGATGAACATGCTGCATGATAAATTCAGCTGTAGCCACTTTCAAAGCTAAGTGAAATTAAATAGGTGGTGAAACTGCCATCAAACAATTTCAATAAAGTGACAAATTCAAATTTTTGAATATGGATACTCAAAAAGTTCTAAACATAACTCCTCACTCCAAGTGTTGTCAGCTCTGCCACCATGTGGAAAACTATAATCTCATTCCCAAGAAGTAACAAGCACTATATACATGTACAAGTTGCACATCTGTTCGTCCACCTTACACTTGCCACTCCTTCAGATCATTTTCAAAATTTTGGTTGGCACACAAAAATGAAGAGTTTTTCTTTGGTAACACATGAATAACATGTCGCCTAGAGATTGACATTTGAACACCTGGATGTGATACGTTGTCTCTTTGATACCCAGGACACCTCTCTGAGGGGCAGGCTGGGCCGCAGTGAAACTTGACATGTGGAAAGTGCCCCCAACAGAGCCATTTGACCATGCCAAACACTTGACTTAACACATTTGAAGGATGCTCATTAGCTGCTTCACATCTGTTGATATAAATGGCTCAATTAGAAGTTTTTCCTTAAAAACTGAAGTCATTCTATTTTCATCTTGCAACATTTGTAATACCAAAACAAAAACCTCTCATAGAATGTACTTTGCAATAATTGAGTGAATTGATTTATGTTACCCATTTAAAACATATAGCTTATCTCATGTGAGTCGTTTATTCTGGAGTATAGTTGCATTTTTATCATCAGATGTTGATAACTAAATTTTGTTTCTTTTTGTTTTTGTTTATGTACTAGCTTTTAACAAAGGAGATTTAAGACTGAATCTGACCTGAATAAAAAAAAATTGTTGCTTTGAAAATATGCATTGTCACTGCAGCATAATTTGGCTTTACACAAATCACCTGGCTTGGGAAATCCCAACCACAGTTCCAGGTTTGCTATATGTCTTGGGAGGAAAAAGTTGATTATGAAAGGATTATCACCATATCATATATCATACACTGGAGACAGTTGAGCTTTAATTCCTATTCATGACTGATATCCTTTAATTGCACAAACCTGTGGCTAAATGTCACTTCAATTATATTCTCTTCCTTAAGATGCAGCAGCCTATAGGGCTGAGTGGATGTTAGCCAAAACCTGCCAACATGTCTGCTTATGAGAGGCTGGCCCTTGGGGAAGTTTTTTTCGCTAAGTTGGTGAGCACGTGATAGGAGACGATGGAAAAGAGGTTCTGGCAGGAACCTTTCAAAGAACACATAGAGCCGCTTGTCAGTGGGATGATCATTCCAAACCGATGCATTCCCATTCACTGAAACTGGAAGCAGTGCAGGAACAAAATGTGTTACTATTGCCTCTGTCATGTCATTGTTAACCTTGTAAAATAAGGGACAAATAATGCCATATTCCTCAAGAAAGCCAGTCATAGCTTCTTCATTCTCTTGGATTCTAGTGAGAATGTGCCTCAAAAGGGAATTTGTAAGCATTCCCTTGTTGCGTAGTAATGTCCACTCCTTTCTGAACCCATGCTGTGAAAATAATTCATCATCTGTTTTTGGAGTGATCAGTTGAATTGTGATGTCAACTAGAAGTGATGGCTTCAAAAGAACCCACTCAGAGATGACTGAATTCTCACCTTTGTCTATGTAAATTACAAGGCCTTTTTCATGAAAATACTTCAAAGTTTCCTTAGACCAGTTGCTGCAAATAAAGTCTCTAAATGAAGTTGGAAAATGTTCCAGGGATACACAGAACTTTGCACTACCATTCTCCCACAAATTAATGATTGCATCTTGAATTTTAATCCATGAAAATGGAATTGTCTGTCCCAAAGTTGCCTTGTTTTCCTCAGCTATGAGGGTCATTGTCCTTTTAAGATTTTTAATTCCTCTATCATGAATTCCATCCTTGGATTCCACAGGAAAATACATCAACTTATCTTCTTCGTTCATTGTCAGATCATTAGAAAAGGTTTGCCAAAGGCTCTGTTGCAGATGTTTATTCAAATAACCAAGGCAGGCTCTACTCATGTTTCCTCTGTGTGTACCAACAAGAAAGATTCTTGGTGCCTTTGGTGCTACTTTGCTATGGATGGATTCCAACCAGAAACAAATTCTTTGGATTTTTGCTTCTATATATTGGAAATTGCTGGCGGCAAAATGTGCAAGGTTGAATACAATAACATATATTGCTTGATTTCTGTAGAAGAGATGATGGTATGCTAAGTTTTCTTTATCACCTCCAAAGTCTAGAATGCCCAATGTGAGACTTGAGAATTTGACATTGAGAGCCTTTCTTAACCCTTGGTAATCTAGTGCTACCTTTTGTACAAAGATAAGCTTGTAAGTACATGCAAAAAGGTTTGATACATACTTTTCATTGAAGATTATTGCACAACAGGCACATCCTGCAAACAGTGCTACATAAGACAGCATAGAATAAGATGATCTTGATCTGTAGGGCACACACTCGATTACAAAAATAAATATAATTGGGCTTACAATTCCCTCCATGAAATGTCTTCCCTTGCACATTGAACGTATGAACCAAAGAAGTGATAAACCAAACCCCAGCATAAAGGTATAATGAAGAATTTCACAGTAACTGACGATTGACATGTTGATCATCAATTCAGCACAGAAACCTAACCCAAAGCCGTTCATGAAAGATCCTATGCGATAAAATAAACCTCGAAACCAAAGGAAAACCCGTCTGCGATTGTAGATTTTTACTTGCCCTGGAAGGGAAATTTTGATATCACCTTGATACCTAAGTACACGCGAACGGACCCATTTCTCCCTTAGGGGTCCAAGGAAGTAGGCAATAAATTTTCCAGTGAGAGGACTAAGGTAAAAAAGGCGTATAATATATACTATAAATTTGTCATGAATCAATTCTAAATGTTTACGTCCAATACACGGTAACTCTACACAGCAACAACGGATCCCTTTGAAAAAACCGTTCACTAAATGAGCAACCATGAGGCCCAAAGTGAAGTGAATAGGACATGAAAACGTAAAGTGAACTAAGAAAAATGCATTTTGAAACACAATCAAATGAATTATTGGAGACGGAAACCCCCATAATAGCACCAAAGAGAATAAATACAGTGACCAAATCATACACAAAGACAGTGTTGATGTTCCTTCTTCAAAAGCTAAGTATTCTCCAGATGAAATAAAGGCTCTTAAGGAACGAACGGACTTTCCAAATCGAGCAAAACTTCCGAACGCAAGGTTCGCATTTTGCCACTCCCGGTCTACCGAGTTTGTGCGGACTCCCAATGTGCTTGGCTCTTCACTGTCGAACGGCTTTTTAATAAGAGCGTTCACTAGGCTCGTTTTTCCAACCCTGGAGTCACCCAGTATCAAACACTGGCCATTAAAAACAAACTGACTGTACTCCTCTTCATTTTGATGTTCACTTGGAAAATCAAGGTCTCTCAATAGCCTGTCGCATTTCTGCTTTTCTTCCGGTGAACCTTGATCAAGTTGCAAGCAAGCCATCACTTCAGCAGCAGTTCTTGAAGTGTGGTCGTCAGTTATAGTTAAGTGGGTAATAGTCACAGCCATTTTGAAATAGAAATCTGTTAATGTGACAAAATCACATCCGTGTTCACATGCCTCAGCCCACAGTAAGTAGAAATCTCGAAGGATCAGGAAAAAAGTCAACGAGTATTATTTTGAGTTTGAGATCATTTTGAAGAAACGCCAAAGGAGTTTGAGTATACAACTTCTCGACTGTTTCATGTCTTGTCTCTTCGGTTTTTTCCAAGCAATAACAAATCCACTAATTACAGACTATTACAACGGCATCCTCACCAATAGGCTGAGGCACTAGGCCCGAATGCTTGAGAGCTGTCTTAGGGCGGAGTGGATGCTGGTGAATAAATGGTATCACCATCATGTGATACGGTAATAATCTGGATACCTCGGCTACATGGAATAGGATCGATAATTTCCTAGGTGTGGTTTTAAGCCTATGAGCTGTAAGGTTCTGATAGGATCTATTCGGCTTTTTAGATCACCTGTCAATCATCACTCAAAGATCGTATGTCAATCATCACACATCCCTCTTTCTAAAAACAAAATAGTACTCTAATTCTATGTGGAGCGTTCTAAGAAAGTGTCCTTAGACCTTATAGAATGTCATTGTCCGGTTAACGAAAATAAAAGAAACAAAACGTCTATGTTTATTCATGTTCAGACGTTCACAAGTCCCACAGGACGAATGCTCTTATTTCAGTGCCTTTAGGCAAAACGGAAAGCATCCCTAAAGGTTGACTTAAGCTTTAGGCGTCTTTAATTGTAAACCGAAATATTCAAAAGCTAACAGTTACCTTTCATGAATCTTTAATTGAACATAAGGTGAACTTTAATAACGTAAATCTTTTAGCATCCTTTAAGTGGTCTCTTTTTTGGCACAAAAGAAGATTTTTAATTAATATACATTTAATTAACCTTTGAGGTGAGAATTAAACGAGTCTCGCTGTTTTGACATCTTTAATTGACGCACTAAAGATAGTCTAATCTGAACTGTCAATAGGAAATGCATCACAAATTAGCCAGCACTTGCGTCGGACAGGAATAGCAAATTTTGTTCCATGTGCAGCAGCAAATTTTGTCAAAATATCTGAATTGAGAGCAACGGGTTTTCATTTTCGCATCTCCTTTATAGAACACATGGAGTGCGATGACAAGAAAGGATATATTTACTGCGCTCATTGTAATGACTTCGTGTCACGTTCAACTTTCGAAAGGCATGAGCGAAAACGAAACAAGTCGAACTTGACAGATCCAATCGAGTTGGCGGTTAGATAATTCTGCCTGAACGTGTTGTGATGACTGTGGACGGAGGCTTGCTAAGTTTGATGTTTGTGCGTTCTTGTGAGCGAGATTAATTCCTTCTAGTTGAGAGTTCAAAGTTCCTCCCACATTTGCTTTTGGACTTGGGACGAGGTGATACGCGGGCAAGCAATGCAAGGTTATATTGTTTGTTACTCAACCTTTGTCGCCCATGTTCACGTCAGGGAGAAGTAATGCTTGATGACGTTTGTTGTAGTTCTCAGCTTGTTTTAAGTTTGCACTTGCGTTTTGTGTCTTGCAACGGTTTCAATTTTGGCAATTTGGGAATCAGCTTGTCTGGTGATATTGAGAGGGTAGAGCGTGTTTTCCTTTCCATGAGTAGCTATGCAGTGGGTGTGTCCGTTCTCCAGTGGTGTCGATTTGGGACAAGTAGTAGGGTAAGTAGTTTATTTATAGTCGCTTTGCAACTTAAGCAATTGAATTACACGATTACTAAAAAGAATAAAATCAATAATAGCATTAAATAGAACTATCAGTGGTTCAAAGCAACTTTGTATAAAATTTTGTATGTATATCTGTTACGTTTGTAAATAAAATATGTCGATTAATATAAAATTTCAATAAAATATTTTAGTCTTTAAGGGCATCTAAACTGTTACGAAATGTGTTTGTCTTGAACACTGGCCTAAACTTCCGTTTGTTTCTAAGGTTCAAAGTATCTGTGTTGCGAGCAGGAAGAAGGTTATGGAGTTTGTTCTGTTCGCTCGGAATAATCTTATAGAATAATTTATCAAATAGTTCGTGACGGCGGTATGAAAGTTTCGTTAGGCCTAATTCAGCCAATGCCTCATTATATTAGCAAAAGGGAGAAATGATGCGCATTGCTTGCTTTTGTCTTCCTCCAAGCTCGATGTGTATGTGTGATGTAAAGGTGGGTGGGGAGACCGTCATGGAAGACAGGACATGCATACTCCGTGATCGGACTAATTGAGGTGCAGAAAAACTGCACTAACTCACGGGTGCTGAGACCTAAGCGCATAAGTTGAGACAAGCTATAAAGGCGCTTCTTAGCTTTTTTGATAATGGAGTCGATGTGACAGTGCCATTTCAAATCATAAGAGATGTTGAGGCCTAGTGTTTTGGCACTGGCATCTAGATCAATAGGTATACCATCGACCACAACTAAATCGAACAAAGTGGTGTTGTAAGTGTTTAAGTTTATACGTAGTTCCTTACGTTTCGTCTCGTTAAGTTGAAACTCGTAATTATCCACAGACGCACGGTTTGCTAGGATGTCAACAGCGGCTTGGACATGACTGTCTTGATTCTTGCTTATCGTCTCCAAAATAGTGGTATCGTCATACTTCCAGAGGTCGGTGACATGAACATCTAGCTCGTTGATCATAGCAATAAACAGCTATGGCCCTAGCTTTGCACCTCGAGGAATCCCCGCCGGGACTGCGTCCTATTCCGGAAATCTGACTGACAAGAGAGCTAAATATGGATCTTCTGAATTCTTCCTGGCTAAGTTTTTGGCAGTCTGAACCACTCTCTCCATCTCTCTGTTACTCTGCGAGTAGATAGTTCCGCAACTTTTGAAAATGTAGCTGCTGCAAATTGTGGCCCATTGTCCGATATGACAACTTCTGGAATGCCGTGACGACAAAAGAATGACAAGTGTAAAAAAGTATTTTCTGTGGTGGTACTATTGTGGGGTGCTACTTCAAACAATTTGGTATTATCAACAGAGTTGATAATGTAATAATGGCCGTAAATATATGAAAATCAAATATGTGCAATGCGGTTGAAGAAACGAATATAGAACCGATCCTCGCAGTTATGAACACTGCTGAACTAGTAGTTGAAGTATTACTGATTCAGCCATTATTTACCACTTCGAAGGTTAATTTGGATCCAACATAATGACCGGCTCCCAGTTGACTTGTTAGCTCACTTGGTAGAGCGCTGCACCGGTGTCGCAGAGGTCATGGGTTCAAATTCCGTACGGGCCTGAATTTTTTTCAGGCCTTATTTCAGCTACTAATTCAACAGTGTTCATAACTGCGAGGATTCTTTCTAGATTACGTGTCGATCATCACCCAAAGATCATGGTCAAAAATCACACATGAAGTCAGTAACACCCTTTTTAACTGTAGAGTCTTTGTAGCTCAGTGATACAGCTTCGGAGCGCGGAATCTGGCGAAGGTCTGCGGTTCGATTCCTCCGGTCCTCTGCGGGAGGATAAAACTACACGATCACAAATTTCTCCTGCTGACCTAGCTACCGTCACATCACATCCCACAAACCCCACCTTCCTTGTGATAGAGAACACAGGTGCCTATGGCATAAAGCTCTTGACTTTACTTTAAGGCTGGTCTTGTAGGGCCATAGGTAATCAGTTTAGGGTGGATATAGCGGTAACCGGTTACGTCGCCCGGAAGACATCTCGCCCGGAACCTGAGTTGTGTTCAAATAAAAAGTCAAGTCGCCGAAGAAACTAACACTTAAAAGATCAGACTTAGACTGTGAATAGGCAATAAAGATCATAAATCCTTATGACTGAAGCGCTGTTTGTGTCCGACTACACCATGAAGATTATGAAATATTCGAAATATGTTCAAGTGACGACTTTAAAAGTATGGTATGTTCTCGTTTCGTACTCATGGAAGTTTCGTAAACTTGAGGAAGTTAATCACTCAAGCGATATTGGTTTTTAACAAAACCATGAAGATTTCGACTATACAAAAATCGATTATATGGTCAGAATTGAAATATATTCGAGTAATGACCCTAAAAGCGCTGTTGGGTGCCGGTTTCGTTTCTTTGAGCCTGGAACTCTTGCACTTATTTCCAATGTCGATTTAAAACCTAAAATTTACCTATGTG